GTTGTTGTTGCTGCACCAATAATCATCACACAGTTGCCCAAAGAACAAAAAACTATGATTGGACGAGATGTCATATTGACAGTGGTCGTGCAAGGATCACCACCACCATCTGCTCAGTGGTTCTTCAAAGATGACCCAATTGAACCGGAAAATGTGTCGGTGGACGAGACGAAGCTTGAATATAAGCTGTTGATCAAACAAGCAACAGTGGCACAGAGTGAAGGAGTCTATCGAGTCATGTTGAAGAACGAAGTTGGTGAAGTACAATCGACTCCGTGTGCACTCACAGTGCTGGAGCCAGTGAAGTTGACAAGAGTGATACCAGCATCTGATGTTATTGATTTGGAAGAGGGCAAAGAATTCAACATCGTCGTAGATGTGAGTGGCAAGGAAACACCAGAAGTTCAGCTGCAGAAGGATGGAGAGGCAGTGCAGTTCACAAGTGTGAAAACAACGCAATACACATTCTCAGTGGCTAGTATAAAGGGAGAACATGAAGGTGTGTACAAGGTGACAGCAAAGAATAACATGTCAATGGAAGAGATGACCGTCACCCTCAATGTTACTGGTGAGTTGGCCTGCACTTCAAAAACAAATTTTGGAGCATACCCATTCTGTATATTCTCATAGCATGGGAGCTTCTTAATTGAGGGTGGATGCATGGAATGTGGGTGAGGGTGTGGATAGGGTATTGGTTTTGGTAGGGATAGGAGTTATGGCGTGAGTGTAGTTCATCTGTTCATGCCTGTCCATACCTGCACCTACACCCACACCACACCCTCAGAGCAGAGTTCTAATCAAAACTTTAGAAGCTTTATTCGCGTAGGATTCTGACAAATCTTGTTCTGTTCTTGTTAAGATCCTCATCTGATATAATTACAAATCTTGACGGCAGCCTCTTATCATAAACCATAACGGATTATGACTAAAGATTCAAAGAACCTCGGAGTAATTTTCTCTGCTATTCTTTTCAAAACTATGAGTAGAATCAAGATGGGATTCTGCTCGAATTTTGCATTCTCAACTTACAAACTGTTTGAACATGCACTTAAACGAAGTCTGACAAGGATTCTGTTTAACTATGGACAGCCTTGTCAACTAGATTTAGTACAACTCAAGGCAAAGTTCTAACCACTTTCCCAATTTTTCTCATAAATTGAACAAGACTGAGGCTAGGATTAGTTAGCGCAGATATATAAATTGGTATGAGATCTATTTTTTATAGGAAATCAAAAAAGACTTCTAAATTGATATCCATAGAAAGAACATTTTTAATATTCGTAAGAAACTCTTTTTTTAGTTTTTTATGGACCAGGAAAAGGCGCTCAGAATATATCCAGAGACATTCTTGATGGTTATAACAGGCTCCCTCGAATAAAAGAGGTCTTATTCGTAGCTCTTTCGACGGCAGAGGAAAACTCTTTGACAGGAGTAATGATTCGTTTTTATATACTTTATTTATAGGAATTCCCAATATTCCAGTCAATGCTCGATGGACACAGAATGGAGTAACTGTCGCTGGAGGTTATGAGCATGGCAATGCCACCAATCAACTCTACTGGCCTTATAGTTTTTTCGTTGATGATAATCAAACGATGGTCATCGCTGACTGCTATAATCATCGTATCATCCAATGGAAGAGGGGTGAGACGAATGGACAAGTGGTAGCTGGTGGTCATGGTTGCGGGAATCGATTGAGTCAATTAAACCGGCCTACTGATGTGCTGATCGACAAAGAGACTGATAGTTTCATTATCTGTGATCGAGGCAATCGACGAGTTCTGCGCTGCTCTCGTCGTCATGGTACTACTCAAGGAGAAATTCTTCTCGATAACATCTTCTGTCGAGGATTGGCCATAGATGATCAGAGACATCTCTACATCTCTGATATCAACAAACATGAAGTTAGACGATATCAGATGGGTGCGAAGAATGGCATTGTCGTGGCTGGCGGTCATGATGCAGGTACCAGTCTTAATCAGCTCAACCAGCCGACCTACATATTTGTTGATCGACAGCAAATTGTCTATATCTCGGATTGGAAAAATCATCGTGTGATGAAATGGAATAAAGATGCAGCAGAAGGAACTGTTGTCGCAGGGGGTCAAGGCCAAGGAAACGCTCTAACACAATTGTCGTGCCCTCAAGGGCTATTTGTCGATATTTTGGGTACGGTATATGTGGCAGATTCCTCAAACCACAGAGTGATGCGTTGGCCTGAAGGATCGAAAGAAGGCACTGTTATTGTGGGCGGCAACGGCAGAGGGGAACGAGCAGATCAGTTGAAAGAGCCAATGGGTCTATCCTTCGATAGACATGGTCATCTCTATGTTGTCGATAGCTTCAATCATCGAGTGCAACGTTTTTCTATCGAATAAACTTATAACGATGATTGTTTTTCTTTTGTCTTTTTATAACATAAATGACGATGAATAAAAAATAACTGGCCATTTCAACAAGAACGAATTTCACTCCTATTCTACTCGTGCGCGGGTGTGGATATGAGTGATGGATACGCGTAAATGGATGTAGGCGAATAGGTAAGAGATGTGGATGTTGGTGTTGGGTATTAGTTGGAGTCTTCTCTTCAACCGCATCCAAACCCCAAGAATATTCAAAACGTTTATAAAATTTTTTTAACCTTTAGTACTGATACTTTAAAATGTGGAAGTTATTGTTATCCAAATCTGTAGGGTGTGTGGATGTGGGTGATGTGGGTGTGAATAACTAAAGCACTAATATCCATATCCATACCCAACCAATACCCCACACTCACACCCAAATAAGAAGTTTCGGGAAAATCAAAGAAATAGCCTTCAGCAAAGCTTTCTTAGTCTCTCTTATTACCTTCCTCCATTGTAATAAAAAATGTGATTAACACGCGTCTGTTTACTCTAGAATTTTAGAAAAGTTTACTTGAGACCAATTCATTTAACACCAACTAATTAGCGTTCATACTCGAAATAACTCTCTAAAAGATTCATATCTGATCTATTTATGAAATTCATTGACGTTACGACTGATGGATATAGGTTCCTTGTTGACTTTTAGTTTTATAATTTTTAATAGAGCGAATTCATCATTTAAATAAAAATCAATGTTTTGATTCAATTTCTGAGCGATGTGCTCAAGGGTGTGGGTGTGGATATTAGTCCTTTAGTCATTCACACTCACACTCACACCCTCATCCACACCTGCAAAATAATCAACACGGATTATGAACATTGTTGTATCCATTATTGTTATTGTAACACATTCCATATACTGATAGCTTATGTAGAACTTCAATAGCGAATCTCATTGTAGCTCAAGTAGCGAAAACATCTAGTCACGTGAGTCCATGCCGGCTAACGACACACTTTACGGTTATTCATTCGTGTTAAAGTAATGGTTATTCTAATAAGGCAATGTCTTCGTTCCAGCTGGTTTAGCTCAGTGATTGTTTGCTTGTCTTCTAATGTGTTTCATCTTCTGTTCTTGAGGGTGTGTGTGGGTGTGGATAGGGTTGGTGTGGGTGTGGAGTGTGGGCATGGGTGTGGGGTGTGGGTGTGCGTGTGGGTGTCGATGTGGGTGTGGGTGTGTGTGGGTGTGGGTGTGTGTGGGTATGGGTGTGTGTGGGTGTGGGGGTGGGGGTGGGTGTGGGGGTGGGGGTGGATGTGGGTGTGAGTGTGTGGGTGTGAGTGTGGATGTCGGTGTGAGTGTGTGGGTGTGAGTGTGGATGTCGGTGTGAGTATGAGTCGGCGAAAAGAAAAACATTCATAGTCACTTCACAGCCATACGAAGACACCCACACCTACCCACACCCGCACCCACCCACACACCACACCCACACTCACCCACACCCCACACCCACACCCACCCACACACCACACCCACACTCATCCACACCCCACACCCACACTCGCACCCACACCCACACCCCCACCCAGACACACCCACGCCCACACCCTCTCCTCTCTCGATCGGTGAAAATTTCAGGTCGCTAGTTGTTGCCGTTATCGAGTTATTGAACTTACACCCACCCCTCTTTAATTCTGGCGCGGACATTAGTAGCGACGGTGTCAGGTTTTTTCTCTTTGAACACAAGATCAGTGTCAAACAGAGACACATCTGTTCTCGTTAGAATTAATTTACAGTACACCTACTCATCATCTTCGTTCATCGTCAAGAAATCGATTTGTCCATCTTTCTACTATGTAAGGGTGTGAAGGTGAGGAAGACAAAGACAATTGCCCTCACTTCCACTCTCGTTTTTATCTTTTCGCTATTTTTTAAAAGCCGTTTTCTTCGATTTGATTCTCATCCACTCACATCAATTATAAAGAAACAGAACACAGTAAAGCACATAACAATGATTTTAGTGTTTTCCATTCATCTTTCCAACTTGACGATAGCTAACATTACTTTACCTATCTACACACATTATCATAGATACAAAAAGGCATACATTGTATAGTCAGAAGCCATTTCAACACAAAACATCATGACTCACATCACTATACCATCATTGCTGACATTACCTGTCGAACTAGTCTATCGAATTCTCGATCATCTGCAACCATTGGATATTCTTCTTTCAGTTCTTGAAGTATGCACACAACTGAATCCCAGGGTGTGGGTGTGTGTATAAATCTTCTCTACACTTACAACCACACCCACACCCCACCCTTGTTGAGTTAGTTCATTCAGTTCAGTTAGTTTTCTCGTATAAATAAACGGGCTTTTCTGAATCGTGCTTTCTGTTCGATATCGAATATGATAAAGTTTATCTGAAAGAATGCTAGAATTAATCCAAGATAGAATTCTCATGCCCATTATTATAGACGAGGTATTTTACTATGTATTCATGTAATAAAACTTTCGATATTAAGTATCTTATAAAGTATTCATCGCTTTAATCAGAACGTTTGGTCAACCCTAAGTGAAACATATTCTGTATAGAAAATGTTTATTAAAAATGGTTTTTTCTATGAAGAACAGTGTAAAATAAATGTCAAAATTTAATACGCATATTTTTTTGAAATAGACTCCCAAGTTACGTAACGTTTATCATCAAACTTTTTTTCATCATGTCCAGTCGGAAATTCTTCTAGTTTAATACCTTGGATAGTTGGTCTTCCGACTTTCAACATACCATCTGGAAGCCATTTATGTGTAGCAAGAACCCTTTCATTATTCCAAAAAACATCACAACCAAAATGTGCTTTATGTTTTCTTGCTTCATTTGGCAAATCGGCATTGATTGTAAATCGCATTTCCCAAGATTTTCCATCACCAGTTTGTCCTTTGAAAATATTTTCAACTTCGACAACTTGATTAGAGGGACCGTTAACGTGCTGATAAAAATTATTTGTTGGACTAGAATTTTTTAAAATTTCGATAACCCATGACATAGCTTCACCTGACGCATCACTACGTTTCTTTTGTTCCGCACATTTTATCATATCTTGAAGAACTTTTTTATTAGCATCTTGAAGAGTAGAAGCATTTTCGTCAGACATTTTTTATTAGGCTGATAGTTCTAAACGAAAATATTCAAACAGTATTATCATACAAAAAAATTATTTTATATCAATAAATGTTCTCATGGTGAGATAATCGAAATAACGAACTCAAAAAAATCTTTCTTACGAAATTTTTTTATTTCTTCACGTAAAGAAATCTTAGTTGTCATTAAACCAGCTTACGTTGAAAATAGTTGAATATTTATGCTAAAAACAAATCTTTATGACGTATCCTACTTCATTTATCGATGTTTTTTTCTTTCTTTCTAAAATTATCCCACATCATATCAAGCGCATGTTAGACGAAAGTTTAAAATAGATTAAACGAGAAGAAATGAAAGAACGGAACAAAATAAGCCATAACAAGTATATGAATTATTCATTTTCTAATAGGTAAAATGATAGCACCAATCGGATCTGAGCTAATAAAAGAAAAAAAATACTACTAACACCATCTCGACAAGTATACATACCATAGAAAAGCGAATGAAAGGTTGTTTTGTATCGTGGTCTTTTCTTTTTTTTTTATTATCTTTATTAGTACCTACACGGTTGTCTGTACCGTGTAAAGAGAACAACGACGGAAGAAATAAGTAATGAGCAAAAAGAATTGCCATGAAATAATCAGAAATCTAGTTAATAATTCAATAAAAAAAATATCTTTCTCTAAAATTGTCTGATTGTCATAATATGATTTAAAACATGATTACATCATGGAATTATTGTTCGGACAAAATTCAATCTGGAAATATGCACTAGCCTGTCATAGATAATAACGAAATTGCAATGTATATGTTAATTATGACAGGATGTTAACACTTGATTCCGAATGAAAATTTAACAGATTAATTAGAATCAGTAAAATAGATTATTCTGTGGAGCTTTCATGTGTTTTCAAAGAAATTAGTAAATGGGTGTGAGTGTGGGTGACCATCTTGAGGGTGTGGGTGGGTGGGTTGAGTTGCTATCTTGAGAGTGTGTGTGGGTGGGTGGGTGTGAGTGGCTATCTTGAGAGTGTGTGTGGGTGGCTATCTTAAAGGTGTGTGTGGGTGTCTGTGTGGCTGTGGGATGGTGTGGCTGTAGGTGTGTGTGGAGTGGTGTGGGTGTGGGTAGGAATGTAGGTGCGGGGTGTCGGTGTGTGGAGGTGGAAGTCGGAGTTGGCGTGAATTAAAAGCAGGGCCGCCCCCACACTCACACACCCACTCCCCCCCCACCCCCCCCCCCCCCCCCACCTACTCACCCACCCCGACATCTACTCACCCACACCCTATTTACCAGCTAGTTGTGAACCATTAAATACACAATTAAAAGGTACATTGACAGATGATACAAACTCATCAGTAACAAGATCAAACAGAAATTATTATTATTATTGTGGATGTCGACCATATTCAACTATTGGTTGGACAGAACATGAAAACTTAAGAGATGAACGTGCTGAAGCATTTCGATCATTATTATGGCCTGGCGTATATGAATGGAGTTATCTAATGCGTGCAACATGTGCTGGAACATTTATCATTCCACCAGCTAAAGCTGAAGAAATGTATTCTCCCGAAAACCTTGGTCGATGTACAACAGAAAAGGTTATCATTGACTAAGAAATATATCTTACATTTAAAAGATCGTAGTTAGTTTTCTACATAGGATTTGAATTTGTTTATTATATCTTCATTACTAATCTCATTGTCAATCATCTTATGTCAAACTATTCATTTTATTATTCCAAATAACTTGTTACTGTAACAGTTGAATTAACTTGATTACTTAATATCTTTACTTCAAATGCTAGTAACACAGTATTAATAGATGTCTGACCAACACTGTGCTGCACTTGAAGATGCTTTTTTGTCGAAACTCGACGATTAATCATTTTTCAAATACAAACATCATTACAAAAATCATTTTTTAAAAATAAGATGAAGCTTAGCTCGGACTGTTATTGTAGTTTTCTGAAGATTATTGGAACTATAGTAATAGGAAAATACATAACAGATACAAAAACAATTGTTCCATCAATACTTTGATACTGTGTCTCACTAACTCAAATCAATGGTAGTTCAAGGAATCTCGTCTATGAACCTTAAACACTAGTAGTTTTCGAACACTTCATAAAAGGATTAAAATATGTAAGAATAATAGCAAGACTAGAGCGACGAGTGTTCAACAACCTCAAGTTTTCCAAACAAAATTCATTTCTCCACACTGTATCACTAACAATGTCAGTAAACTAATTTGATATGATATAATTGTGACCGATATATTTAACTGGGGATGACGCTTCATCTTAACTTAGATTAAATTAACAAGTTGTCCAAAAACGTTTCTGCAAAAACGTCGAAATCTTGAGGGTGGGGGTGTGGAGTGTAGGCGGGAGTGTGAGGCGTGGGTGTAGGTGTGGGTATGGATGTGAGTGTGGGTGTAGCTGTGGGTTCCACACACCCACACCCACATCCATACCTACATCCACACCCTAGTCTAAGTCTCGTCATGATATGCAGCCACATCCACATTCATACTTCATACATCCTACGCACATCCACATGCATTCTCGTTAGTACAAATGTTCCAAAAAAAACAGAATCAATGACGTTTTTTTCTTACTGTCGTCAGTTAAAATAAACTCTAAACAGTGAGTAGAGTTTTTATTCAAATAAAATATATCATGCTGAAAAGCAAAATCTCGAGTACGATGATGTGTCTTTGAAATAGCTAAATAGTTTTACTTGTTATTCTCAGGATAATTCTTTAAGAGCCTCTTTCCCATACATATATTGTAAAGCTCTCTTGATTTGTTTTCTATGTTGTTCCCAATAAGTTTGAGTAAAAGTATAACCTCTAGATAGACGTCGAGTAGTAGTAACATAGCCAACAAGCATTTCCAATTCATTACGATCATTCTTGTGAGATAGTATTTGAATTAATGTTGTTGATAGTGCACCATCTGAATGATCATCAATTAAAATATCTTCTGATATAGGATTTTCATTATTTCGTTGAAATAAACATTTCATTCTTGTTGTAAGTTCTTGTGGGAAATCGTTGAATGTCATATCAATATAGTATTCGAAATCAGTTTGATTTAAACTAACTGGAAAAGTTGAGTGAACAATCAGATTTTTAAAATGATCGGAACCAGTTGAGGGATCAAACTGTTCTGTTAACCAAGAAAAATCTGAACGTTGTTGAAGAAAATCTTGCACATATGAGGTCAAATTCTTTTTCACTTTTACGCCGACATCTTTCTGAGAATAAACTTCTTCTTGGCGTGATATACTGTTGTTTGTACGGTTGCCGTAATTTGAAAGTTCTCGTTGATTTGTTTCCACTTGTAATTTATTGACATGCTTGTCTTGATCATGATGATTGATATTTCTTTGGTGATAATATTCGTTAGTATAGGATGTGCGCAAGGCTTTGCTATCATAACTAACATCTTTCGATCTGCTGCTTTGTGGATTTGACTTCGATCGATGAACATACAATCGCCTATTGTGCTTCTTGTTTTTTTCAGTTTTTGAGCCGTTGCAAAACAAATATTTATCACTTTGCATTTCAACTCTGAATATCTGTAACAAAAATCAGTAGAATAAATACCGATATTCAGATTAAATCGTTCTTACTATTATTGATTTTTTAAAAACATTTCAGAGAAATACTCCTGAATTATCTATCAACTTTTCCAGAAATCCCTTTCTTGTTACACATGTGAAAACACCACATAATGTGGAAATCTCTGTGATGTTCATCGAAAGATCAACTTTTTTGCGTCGATTTAATTCCAATCAAGATTTTCTTTTCGTGTAGTTTCGCAACAAAAGTTGAGTATGGAATCTAGACAGGCAGACATGTCAGTTTCGTACAAATTTTCATTATGAAAGGAAGAAGCTTTAAATTTTTTGACTATCTAAATTTAAGACTGATATTCGCATAAAATTTCAGTTTTTGATATTTTTGTTCAGCAAAATTTCAAGTTTCTGAGTAAAATTTCCTTCAAATAATTTACATATACTAAAAAGAGTGACAGAACTCGCTTTAAAAGTTTGAAAAGTAGCTGCATTAATGCATCTAAAACGAAAATTTTATGTTTAACTCAATGTTAATTTTGAATAACCGGAAAATTTGAAAGTTTGTTCCTTTTATAAGGACAATTTGTACAAAAATCAACATGTATATTTAACATGAAACTCTAAGAAAAGCAACAATCTAAATGAATGTTCTCCGTTAGAATTTTATGCGTAAATTTAATTAAACAAGTGGTAATTATAAATGATATCATAACTATGAAAATAGAAAAGTGAAAATAAATACTTTTCTAGAAAAATCGATTGAAATTATCATTCAATGGAAAAAAAACCTAAAATTAAACGCTTTCTCCGTTTAATCTTCTCATTTTGTTCTATTCGAAATACAAAAACAAAACAAAAATTCTTGATACTCTTAATCGATTCTCACCTCGAACAATATATCTCGATTATAGATTTCCAATATCAGATATATAATGAATAAAGAGAAGAAGATACTAAAAAGAAACATATTTTCTCCTTTATACATTTCTTGTTAACTCAACTATATTCAAACAGTTTCAAAATACCTCTTTATGATGTATTCGTATAAAATGTCTCTAATTTGCAATCTCTCTGATTAAAAAGATGCTCAGTCTGTTTTTTAGATACTTAAAGATTCGCCATAAAACGCAAAACTAGGAAATCAATTATATCTATTGTCTTCAGTCAGAAAACGTTATTTTTCAGTCACTCCCATGTAAATATTTTTGGGAGTGCAACTGCGTCTAAATCGCAGCAGTCGAACGCTTGAAGATGCAACTCAGATGCAACATTTATGATGTTCCGACGCGATCCCTGAGGTAACCGCGTCGAGACGCAATTCAGACTGAAGTCACATCTAGACGCAACCAATTTGAGATTTCAAATTTCAAAAATTTATTACAATACGTCTCAGGTTTGATCTGACTCGCTTAGGTGTGCTTGTGGGAGTAAAAGTAGTTAGTTGGCTCATACCCACATCCATTTTTAAAATTTCATTAGCTAAAATATTCAAATTCTCAATTATTTAGAAATCTTTTTCATATTATATTTTACTAAGAGTTGTTTTTTGTATCTTTCATCAGAATAAATTCATTTATAGAAAACTCTTACATATAATCTTCATCAGATAAAAAGCAATGGTTGACAATATTTTTTCTATTATCGTACTCCTGAATTAATGTTTGATCTTTTATAAATCGAGGACATTAAGTGCGTCTAGGCGCGAATCTTATGTAACATTTTTTTAGTATACAGACGCACTTAAAACTAAAACTTTGTCTAGACGCAACAAATTTTTCACTGCAGACGCATTTAGACACGTTACAAGTCTAATACCAGCCGTGTCCAAGTGCGATTTAGATAGAATTGCGTTCGTGCGTGATTTTACTACTTTTTTTTCTATTGCATCCAAACGCGTTGACAAGCTGGATTTCTGTGTTTCTTGCCTACATGAACTCTGAGAAAACTTAAATTTAGAAGAATAGTTATGAAGTAACCGAAAAATATAACAAAAGGAGATTTTATCGTCGTTTACCATTGTAACGTAGTCTTTAGTATATTGTTCAGAATATCGTTCTATATGATTGTTTATAACTGACACGATTCAACATAATTCTTTTTCTCTATCTGATTCTCATAATAATATAGATTGCTTACCTTTCGAATCAATATCACTGTCTTACTCGGTGTGAAATCGATTGAGTTTTGATTACTCGTTCTATATTAGAAGAAAAGAACAATTTTCCAAGACAAACGCAAGATAATATTTGGTTACATTCCAACTACAAGCATCCATATTGCTTCTCAATTAGTTTCTTTCAAAGGTGAATCATATCTAACGTATATATACTAATGACAAGGATTGCTACATATAACAGAATATTGACAAATAAAGAGTTTCTTTTTTCTTACATACCAATAAGTTATAAATAGATCATGGATAAAAGAAAATTATCCGAAAATAAGTTGTTTTCCTTTTACCAATGATCTATTTATGACTTATTAATATGTAGGAAAAAAAAACTTGTTATTTGTCAATATTCTGTTATGTGTAGTAATCCTTGTTATCAGTGTATGCTTTTGATATGATTCATCTTTGGGAGGAACTAATTGAGAAGCAATATGTATGTTTGTAGTTGGAATATAGCTAAATATTTTCTTGCGTTTGCCTGGGAAAATTCTTTCTTTCTTCTAATATAAAACGAGTAATAAAAGCTCTAATCGACTTTACACCCAGTAAGATAGTGATATTGATTCGAAAGGTAAGCAATCTATATTATTATGAAAATCAGATAGAGAAAAGGGGTTATATTGAATAGGTCACTCTCAGTTAGTTTTTGTTTTAAGCAGAAGGTGTCTGTTAAATTGGCGAGAAAATTACAACATGGTGATATGATATTGTTTTGCTTTCTATTGAAAACTGAAATTTCATATATAATTGTTTTCCAACTTACGTTGAGCAAGTTTTGATATATCTCTAGAAGGATCATAAGAAACTGTGAATATTCTCTTATCTAAACCTAAAGATATTGTACGGAACACGACTTATTAACCATCTTTCAGGAGTACTGTGAAGAACTAATATATCTATTTTTTACCGCATGAATTAAAGAGACTTCGAAAAAGAATCTCAGAAACATCACTTACAGTGATAGATGTTGTTGTATTTTTTGCTTTCTAGTTTATAATGGATATGGTCCGTATGATTCGAAGACTGATTTATTCCTATAATGACTTGTCTTTTATAATTGAGTCATGTAAAATGTGCCCTGAAAATGCCTTGTTTTGCTCCTGTTATATATCTGCACAAATCCGTAAATACGTGCTCGAGTTGTTCATAGATCTCTACCTAGGTTTCTTGATATACAGAAAATCTTATGTTTGAAATAATTACTATTCAAGATTCTTTTTGAATATTATAGATGACTTCGGCTCAAACAAGCATTCTATCAAAGCGTGTTAGTACTTTCTTACAACAAAAGCCTGATCATGATTGGCTAATGATACCGCTCATTGATAAAGGCGGCAAAGATCAATTCAAGAATATTGTCGTCTATACAATATTTTCTTCAAATTTAAATCGAGATGATTTCGCATATTATATTGATATGACATTTTGTGATTTACCAGAAGACATGAGAAAAAGAATGAAAGGCTTATATCTAACAAATAGTCATTCTTTTCAACAGGAAGATATTGTTTTTGACTATGGTGCAAAAGATGGTAAAATGTCGGCATCATTACTTCAAATAGTTGCTCAAAAAAATCAATCAAATCAGTTGGAAGTTCTTGTTGGTGTTATATCTGTTGTACGAACACCTTCAGTAGGCTGGCACTTCAACAACGACTATTGGAAAAGTGACAAATGTCGAGTACAACGAGGATTGCAGTATATATTTGCAAGTGAAGCTCAAAAAGAACTATCTCGCTATTGATTATTGAATATTCATTTTTTTTTAAATTAAAACTAGTTTTTAAAATCACTTCGCGTTGTGAATGTCGTCTCATATGTGTTTCCTATCGAGTACCCTAGAATAAAATTTTTTTTATCATCAATAAAACCGATCTGAAGACTTTGTTCTAATATGTTACCAATGATGCATGCCGTAATTTCAGTTCCAACGAAATTTTGTGAGTTTAGTTAATATTGTACCAGGTAAATATTCTAAAAGGGTGTGAGTGTGTTGTTGTTGGTGTTTGAATGAGTGTCAGCTCGTGTGAATATGAGGAGTGCGTATGAGTGTGACCTGGATGTGGGTATGTAATCTTGTAAAAGTACAACCCGCACCCACATCTGTTCTATGTATTTTTTACATTTCAACTCATCAAAATAGTCTGTTAAAAATAAGTATCCCTTATTTACTGATATGTGTAAATTTATTTCATTTATCTGGTTCATTCTTAAACTCAAAATAATTAAAGCATTCAAGTTTTCTAAAGAATTATTTCTTTTTTTCTTTCAGTTTCATCCGAATAACATGTTAAAATTAAGTGTACTATATTTATATAAATAAATATATATATTTTTTTTATTTAGATTCATCTGAATAACAGGTCTTAAGTAAGTAAGTATCTCATATTGTTATAAGTGTATATTTATTTTCTTTATTTAGTATAATATCAAAATAAAACTATGGTAAGTATAAAATTTTTATGTTTGATTGTTTTTTTTGTTTTCATTTTAGATTCAACACAACAACATCTTGAAAGTAAGTATTCCTTATTTATATAAAGATACATATTTTTTTCTTTATTTAGTTCAATATGAAACAAGAAATGATGTAAGTATGAAGATTTTACAAGTAATTATTTCTTTTTTTTCTCTATTTAGATTCATCACAACTATATATGAGAAGCTGCATTGAAGAGCGATTCGAGATATCAATTTCATATGATAACGACGAACTATTGGTGTCATGGCCTACAATTTTCAATGTTCGTCTACAAAAGAGCGAATTCGAACTGATTCAAATGAAGCTCCAGAGAAGAGTTTAGTTTGTCAAATAGATTATTTGGCAATCGAAACGTCCTGAGGAAATTCATTTGAATCAGGCCGTATTCGATCTTCTTTAGACGAACATGGACAGTCGTAAGCCGTGACATCAACAATTCTGTCGGTGGCTTGTTTTCACATGAGGGAGAATCAAGGGGAAACAGCTGATTTTTTTGATTTAAATCAGAAAAATCAAATGTAACTAATAAATTTTTAATCTCTATTGTTCAAAGCATCAATTTACAGTGGAAAAGCTAAAATCAGATTTTCTTGATTTTTTTTGATTTTTCTGATTGTTTTGATTTTTTTTTGATTTTTTTGTTTTTCTTTATTTAAAATCAGTTGGTTTTAAATTAGAAAAAAAGCAAAAAAAGTCTGATTTCAGCTGTTTCTCCCTTGGGTTGAACCAATAAATCTTTATAAGCATGATAAGAAGGTGTTAGTCCAGATAGATTCAGTACAATATTATTTGTCTCTTTCAATTCACTATACGCTTGATCCATTGTTTCAATCAATCGTTTTTTATTCAATAATTCAACAGCAGTTTTATCTTGACGTCCATCTTCAGCAGCTAATTCTTCTGGTGAATACATATTGAAAAGTGAAAGAAGTATATGAGTAGTATAATAAGTAATGAATCGTTCGCCAAATTGAAATGCTATGATTCAATTTTAAAAAAATCCTTTAGATTTAATATTTCCATTGGAAAAAAAGCTTTCTTTTACCATTTCCATAGTTAGGTTTAACAAATGGATGCTCATATGCTTCAATACGTACAACAGATATTTGTTGATTTGCAACCAATTTAAGTATAGCAGCAATATTATTATATACATCACATTAGTTAGGCGCTGAAAACAGGGAAATTAAGACAGAAAATTTGGTTTGAGAGGATTTTCGAAAGAATTTTACTCATCTTTTTGTACTTCATGTCCGCGAATAATTAATAAAAGATTATTTCGAAATAAGAAATTTCGACAAGGATTATACGAAAAGAAATGAGAACATCCACGGACATTATTTGGTTTAAAATCCGGTTGTTTCTCGTTGACTTGATCAAAATCTTCACTTAGATCAGACCAAAGGAAATCACAAAGAGGATCTGAATAAGGTATTTCCATGAAACGATTCAATTTTTCAATATCGGATAGAGTCTGAATATCGGGTGGGATACCACCATGCATGCATAGAAAACGTGAATCAATGACAGCACAAATGGGCAATGTATCGAAAGCGATCATACAAGCATCGTAGAGTGACATTGAACCATATTTCTTTTGACATTCCAATTTAAATTGAAATGCTTCAGCTATTTGATGAGTTTCATGATTTCTGGCAAAAGAATGAATAAGAAAACAAATTATTGAAAAAGATAAACCAAAATCTAGAACAGGACAGTAACCAGGAGTAGGCTTCCCCTTGGGCACAAAGTTTTCTGTATCAGCGTGCAGGAAAATAAATCTCGTGCCAACTATTATATTTTTCACTTGGAGGGTCTATCCATTAAGAAAATCTTAGCTACTAGTGTGATCCAGATAGGTTGTTTGGACGTTTTTTTTTCTACCGATACAATTGTTACGCTGATATAATCCTTTTTCGATTTACAAATATAGATCAAACAGAGTTTCCCAAAGTGCTTTCGATTAAAATATAACCGAACTCACCCTCGAAGTAAGTTGATATTTTGTGAATAATTAAGTTTGAGTGCAAATAATAAAAATATACATTCACATTCGAATTGACCTCGATCAACATAATCACCCAAGAATAGATAACGTATTTTAGCTGGTTCTCCACCAGCCGATAATATTGTGAGAAGATCATAGAATTGTTCATGAATATCGGCAACAATAGTAACAGGTCACTGAATAACTAAAATATTCGGTTCACGTTCGAGTGTTTGTTGAGCAAGATTAACGAGATGTAAAGCACATTGTTTATCAAGACGATCTTTAACTTGTAAATGTTGAACAAGACGATTAATGGATGGTAGACCAGATGATGAATCAAATAGATCAGTTTTTGTAAGTAGATTAGCTCGATGATACGAAATCGAATTTACTGGACGATCAACAGTAGAAATATGTATTCTTCTCTTTTGTTAGTATTCTCGTTCTCTTTTTAGTTTTGTGTGCGGCAGAAAGACATTCGTTTTTTTTCTTATTCTTTACACAGGCTGTTTAAGAAAATAAAAAGAAATATGTATGATTTTTGTAGTTCTTCTCGCTTGTAACTGAAGTGAGAATGATGGCGACCATATTTTATGGTAAGTAGAATAAAGTAACTTGACAACGATGGCGAAGAAATACATCGGTGTTGATTGTGTTGAAACAGAACGAAGACGGTGAAATGACTATGAAGCAAACAATCAATCTAATAGAGACGGACGGACCTCTTTAGTGCATCATTTTCAGAATATCTGGGTGTAGATATTGCTGTGACTGTGGGCCTGAGTGTTCGCTTCATCCACACCCACACCCTTATAGAAAATTTTTTTTTGAAAAAATATTAATATTTAATTAAAAAAAGAAAACAATGCATATTATGAAAATAAATAAAACATAAATAAATAAATTTTATAAAAAGAAATTAAAAAAAAAGAATATTACAAGAACAATTTAAAAAAAAATATTATTTGAAAGAAAATTTTAAAATGTTGAGGTTATATGTACTTCATGGCAACATGTATTGTCCGCACTAGAATGAAAGAGAGGTGGGTGTAAGCGCGATAACTCGATAACCGCAAGAGCTAGCAATCTGCGGCTTCCATCAATTGAAAGAGGAGAAGTTGGAAAGTCTTTTTCTCCAATAATATATAAGACAAAATCCTTTTAAAACTAATCATCTTCGGAAAACATACAAAAGGATACATGAGAATGACCTACCATTTAGATGAAATTTTGATTTTGACCTTTGATTTAGATAGAGGGACTTTAGGTCTATAGTTCAAGATGCAATGCGTTTTCTTACTTTTCATTACATTTTCATCGAAATGTCAACCTATTATGATATAAAAAGTCCGAAAACTTCTTAAAAAATCAGCAAAATTACCTATTATTTGCGCACATAAATGCATGATTCCATTTGCTCAACGTTAGAATGCAATAAGAAAGCCATTTGCATTGTATCTTAAACTACAGATCTCAAATGCCTCTATCTAAATCGAATGTCAAAATCAAGATTTCATCTAAATGGCAGACCATTTTCATGTATTCTTTTGCATGCTTCTCGATGATGATTAGTTTTAAAAGGGTTTCGTTTTATACATAATCGAAGAAAAAGACGTCCCAACGTCTTCTCCTTCAATTAGTGAAAGCTGCAGATCGCTAGCAGTTATAAATATACGAGAATAAATTGTTTTCTCATATCACTACTTAGCATTTTCATAGGATATCGACATCATGTAAAAAATACCATTTATCAGTTTAAACCTCATCACTCATTTAACCACATAACCAATTTTAACTATGCTTTTTAAGGCTATATGCATGCTTTCGACTGATGAATTAACTGTTAAAAGCTACCGTAGCGTCCATATGGAAATTGCAGGTCTGTTTGAAAAAGAAACAAATTGAAAGAGAGTCAGTAAAAATTTTCTTGTCACACACACTTTCGACTGATAGGCGGTCTCTATTCTTGAAAACATTCATCAGTTGAAGGCACACATATTTCAATACTAATATAATCAAAACGAATACCATTTAGTATTGATGATATTAGTATTGAACGATCATGGTTTTGAATGGTATCAGTTCATTCACCAGTCGTTTATTTTAAGAAAAAAAAAGGATTTTTTCGAGCTAGAGAGTTCGATGAAAATCATCAGACTGCATAATTTTCGAAATCTGATGGATCTCACATGGATTTATAAACTCTGAAACCTTTTAGACAAGTTTTATTAAAAAACCGTTATTCTCTCAAAATAAGCTACTCCTGACTGAACCAATATCATTCATTACTGATAATATAAACTAAATTTTGTTGAGGCTCAGAATTTATGAAGCATCCTTTAGTTATTGAAAACATATCAATCGATCTTGTTTTCAATTCATACACAAAAGAATAAATGAATTTTAATTTATTTTTCTTTTATTTCGAAATTCAATAGATAGATAAAAACAACACTCCTAAATCCAATCATTTCCATTGAAGATATATATTATCATATTCAAGTTTAATAGTAAAACAATGAAGAAGTTTCTCACGATTGATCATATCTTTGAATTTGCTAATCATTTCATTGTTTGCTGTTGGAATATAAAGACATAATAAACGAAGATATTGATTGCCATCATTATTAATTTTCATTAAAAGATCTTTTAGAAACACTTCATAATCAACATTATTGTTCAAATTAACTTTGAGATATGTCATACGAGGGCAAAGTCTTATAAGAAAATAAACTTCTTCCATAGAATTCATTTTGAAGAGATAAACTTTGGTGATATTATTTTTATTTGCTGCCAAATAAAGTTTATGTTCGTAGAAAGCGACAAATATTGATTTTAATAATTTCAAAGAAAAGATTTTTAATGAATCAACTGCAGGTAATTTATCAATTAATTCGATTAATTCAGTAGAACAAATATTTGGTTCAGAAATTTCCAAATGATAAATTTGTGTTATTGTTAAAATTTCACCAATAGTTAACTTTAATAATCCACTATAATAATAATCATCAGGAACACTCCAAACAGTAAGTTGAGTAGATTTTGAAAGTTCAATGGAAGAATTTATATCGTACCATCTTTTTCTAAAAAAGAAAAGTTATTAGCATAATTGTTGTGGCATTAAAAGATATGATGTCCGTCATGGTTTGCGATAAAAATGTCTGTCACAATGGAACTCGTCGGATCCGAATTGGAAAATTTTCTTTTGATCGGATTTGGGTTCAAACTTTTCTGTTTTGTCAAGTTCGAGTCCATGTTCCTATTCAGACTGAACTTCAGACCAAATTTTGATTTAGCTGTGATGAGAAACAGTCGAAAATCAGTTCTTGTTGATTTTTTTTCTGCGAATAAACAAAACTTAGCTAATCTATTGATTCTTTACTTGATAGGTTCTAGTCATGGTCTATAATAATCTGTTATTATGGTATCTGTCACGGTTTGCGAGTGGAAAAAAAAGGATGAATGGTTACAATTTCCTTCCTTATACTTTAGCACTAGACATGTGCGAGATCGAGACCAAAAAAAATTTGGTCTCGTATATGTCTAGTAAAGACAACTTTCTCGTAGTCCAGATAGAGTTTGGTTTTTTGAGTCTTGATCTCATACGTGTCTACTCAACAATTATGTTAGATCGTAAAATAATTTACTTAAGAGAAAACACTTGTTTCAATATACCTGTATGGTCGAATTGAACAGACAATTTTCAAAGAATTCATTTCAACATTCATTAACCATTGTCGTTCAATCCAAAATAATGAACGAAAGTTATCTGAAGGTAAAGCATTAGACATTGCAGCTTCAGGATCAACTTTTTCATGATATTGTAAATAAAATTCTTCTAAATCTGGTAAATAATCTTCAATCAATTGTTGCCATCGATCAGCATCAAGATAATCTCGTTCGTACAAACGAGTAGCACGTAAAACTTTCAAATTACATCCAACATTATATCACATATTTTTATTGACAAATATGTTAAACTGAATAAATTCATTGGTAATATCATTTCATTATTAAAATAATTATCATAGGATTTCATTAAATTTAGATGATAAAGTTCAGGTGTATAAGATATTATAGTAGAAACTTGATTAAAAGTACAAGAATGATTAATCACAAGATATTCAATATTAGTTAATCGTTCTTTCTTAGCAATTGGTAATGACATAGATAAGACAGTTCCTCTTGCTGAACATTTCATATATTTTAATTTTGGTAAAACAAAAATTAATCGATAAACTTCTGTTAAATCATCAAACGTCCGTTGTGTATCGATAGTTAATGAAAAAAGTCGTGGTAGACAAGTTAAATTAGTAAGAAGTAATAAAAGTATAGATGGTGAAATTTTAAAAAGTACAAGTGATTCAAGACGATTAAATGATGAATCAATTGAATATGATAAGAAAAATTCATTGTTTTGTAATGGTAATATTAAATGTAAGGAAATGATTCGATGCTTATTGTCAAATAAAAGTTGTTGATGCGTATTCGTATATGATTTATAAGATGATGAATTAACTGTAATTTTCAATGGAAATGATGAAGAATTGAGAAAATATTGAAAACGATGATTGAGATTTGAAAATGCTTGGTAGATATCACTACCGTCAAGATAATCGAATATTTCATTAAATAATTCATTTGATAAACTTTCAATAGATGTTTTCGACATTTTGAATAAAAATTTAATGTTCAATAAAGATGTTTTTTTTTTGTTTGTAAATAAATTAAGTTTGTCGATTGAATGTAAACAATAATTACGTTGTGTTTCTGTTATCTTGTTGAAAACGATTTAATTTATGCTTAGAATGATTTAGAAGGAATGTTGGATAAAACACACATAGATGTTTATATGTTTTGATTATTCTTTTCTAACGAACTCGAATGATTTAAATATAACCATTTTTTTTTCTTTTCCTTTTCTTGATAAAGAATATCTTTACTATCGAATGTCAAATGATTATTTGATTATTTCGTTATTATCATCTTTTAGTAAGAACAAAAGAAAGTTATTTATTCAATAGAACTTGATCATTGTTAGTGCATCTGTAAGATCGAATTGAATATATAATGTTTTTAAGATCAATTTTCCCTTTAAATACCTGTATCCATGCAAACGAAAATGACGAAATGACTTGAATTAATCCGTTAAAATATATTAAAGATTCAGTTTCATAATAGTCAATAAAATTAAGATGCATCTCGATTAATCCTTTCTGACCGCTACGACAAGATCGGCAGCAAAAAAATCTTTTCCAGCAAATTTGTAGTTTCCTAACCATGGAGATACGAAAAGTGTGGCCGTTGGAACAAAAAAAAAATCTTCGGTACCGAATGGTTTGTCGTTGCCGTTTGGCAACATCCCCTTTCTGTTGCATCACACGAAAAGATACATTAAAAATCTTACTTTTGTTATCATTTCGATCAAACAAGACACTTTCAATGCAAACATTTTTTTTACATTATTTCTATCATGAACTACGACCAGTTTCCACCTTGCTAAAAGGTCTCATCAGATGTCTGTGATATTCAGACTTGTATAGAACACAAATGCCTTTATATTTTAATAAAAATCAAATCTAGTTGAACAACAAGTTTTCTATACAACTAGCATGCATAGACATAGTCATTACTTCTTCATATTATTTTTCTAGTAGCAACCAGGACCGATTTTGACTCTGAGCGGAGTATGAGTGTTTATATTCATTAATACACCAACATCAGTGAATTGTGTACTAATACTAATGAGAATACAATGAAATAATTCAAATTTATTCTTATTACTGTGTTAGATCAATGAAAACGTAGAAAATAATGTATTATTAACTTTCATGAACAATCAATACGAATACTTTTCTTTAGTTGATGTTTAAAAACTGTAATGAAACCGCATACTTAACAAAATAAAAAAGGACACATTGAGAAATGCACTTTTAGATACCACGATAAATTTTTGTATATGGAACACGACTATGAGATCAATGGAGAGATTTATATGGCATTTTCAACATAGTCCAACATCTGAATTTGGTATGATTCACTGATCTCTTACTTGACGTTGAATAACATATGATCTTCGAGTTTTACAATAGTCTGACTGAGACGTATGCAACATGTTTTTTTTTTTCTTTTCGAATTAGAAGATAAAGCTAAACGACAAAAACTGTAAGCCGTATTATATTACATTGCACGAGTACTTGCATATCCTGAAAAAAAATAATTTGACGCATATGTGTCTATGCGAAGTAATGATGTAATAATCTTGGAAGTTGGTGGATAAGAAGGAAGAAGCAAAGGTCACAAAACTTATTGCGCGTCGTTTTCATCGTCTGTTTATAGAACAAAATCAAACCAAAAAAATAGCAACAAAAGCTAAGAAATGGCGGAATAAAAATTTCACTTGGGAATCTCACAAAGCAGTGACCGTGCTTTTATGGTTGAATGTTTTATACCAAAAAATGTTTTTTTTTTATCTGAAATTGTTGAACTCTTATTAAAACGATTTGTTTTATCTGATATTCGATTTATGTAAGTTATATTGTTATTTATTTTTCTTGAATTCGTGATCACATCCTCAACAAAAATATATCCTTCGTCTTGTTAAGAAAAAAAAACAAAGATCCAAGCTCTAATATTACCCATCTAAGAACAGCTTTTCACTTGAAAAGTTACATCTTAAAAGATGACACATAAACTATACAATCATTATTTAAATGTAGTATGAAAAATATCATTACTAACTATCGAATAAATTCTGATTAAAAATCCTAACGTTAGATATGAAAAATATACTATGGAGCTGTGACTTAAAATTAAAACTTCATAGTTACATGCTTACCAACTTTAGTAGAATTTTTTACTTAAATATCTTAACTTTGGAGATGAAGAATAAACTATGAAGCTATGATCTTCATTTTAGAAAAGAAATCTTTACTAATGTCAGAACAATTTTTTGCTTGCATATCATAAGTTTAAAGAAGAAAACCAAAATGTAGACATGAAAAAAAACATATATCAAGTTTCACTCATATTTCTTTTTTAATTTTGTTGAGTGATCATGAATCTATTAGGAAAATAATCATAGTATATTTATTTGTAAATAACTTACGTAAAAAAAAATAAATGAATATTAAAATAAAAAATATATTTACAAATACTTATTTATTCGTTTATATAACTAAAACGAAAAAGTGTCTAAAATGAGACTAAGCCACTGCTGCTCGTCACTAAAATTTTTCGTCATACATAGCATAGGTGCCGGTGTGGGTGTGAGTGTTGCTATTATCTTCATGTCACACTCACACCCATACTGACATCACCTCAGCCACACTTACATCTTGAACTTTAAATCGAGGTCGTCGTTGATGCCAACATTTGTTATTATCAAATGACGTAAAGCTACATATATTAAGAGACGGTGCATGGTCCAATCGAGAAATTGTTTCATATGAAAAATTTTGACCTATCTTTTTTTATTATTGCAAATGAAACAGCATGTCAAGAAACGTCTGAATTCTAAATAAATCGACCATGAAAAAATCGTTTGTATATAAGCTTTGTAGTTTATTCGAAAATGTATCGAAATCAACCTTTGAATAGTGTCCATAGCTTATCGTGGACGAAGAAATTCGTAAACAAAGAAATACCTTAAAGTTTTGTTTTTCACTTTATTTGCAACTAAGAATCTATGATTTTGGGCTATTTATGAATGATTTTTCGTAAGTTCGAGTGCGTTTGGGCTGATGTAAATTAACGGTTTCCCCTTTGGAAATCCACCAAACTCATGAAACTCATAAGCTGCTATGTCCCTCTTGATTGTAATGCCTAACTATCCATTATCCACCTAGTAGGAAAAGATGACGTGTATCAGCGATCGTTCTCAAATGCTTATTTAAAGTTCAGTTATTCTGTTTTATTAATCGAAGCGATAAGTCACAGAAATAGTTCAAAGTTTTTCTTTGAATCAGCCGCTATTTGAAGTTTCTCTTCACTCATTGGAGACAGATCGCAGTCTTTCACTTCCAGTATCTTTGACGATTGATGATATTTGATCATGTCACAAAGAGAATCGACACTTTCGTCAGTCACTAGCTTGTTCCAGGAGAGACACAGTCCTTGAAGACTTTGATTGTGATTTTTGATCGTTTCACACAACAATCGAACTCCTCGATCGGTTATTTCATTCTTGGATAGATACAATAGAGTCATTGTTTGATTTATCTTGAGCATTTGAGAAAGATATTCGCAACCTGCATCGGTGATTCCATTCTCCGAAAGGTCAAGTATCGTGAGAGTACAATTACTGTGTGTGAGTGTCTCGGCCAAAGCTTTCACACCCATGTCGGACACGTGATTAGCTAGAAGCGATAGAGTATATAAAGTTCGGTTGTTGTTCAATGCTTCAGCTAAGATCGCAGCACCAACTGATGTGATTTCATTGTATTGTAAAGATAGCCACATGCATTGTGTGTTGTGTAACGTCTGTTTGGCAACAATGTCGATATCTTGATCATACAATTGCATGCAGTTCAGCATTACTATCGATCGAGTTGCTCCAGATTGTGCAATAGTTTGTTCCAATTGTTTACTTCGATGTTTATCGAATACTAAAAGAATAGACTGAGAAAATTCACTGTTCTTTTCGGTAATGATAAAAATAATAATCGAAAAAAATGTTTTCGATCATTTTCTAACCAACGATTTAGTCTTATAGCAGCTATGCTTCTACGACCAATATCAAAGTGTGTTCTTAATCTTACCAGGAATTCGTTTGACAGCTGTCACTGGTTGTAATAGAGGAGTTTTCGGTTGAATTTCTTGCAGTTGAACAGTATGTAGACCATAACCCTGATAGACAGAGGAGAGAACTCGAAATTGAGTGGCACAAAGAAGAAGAATTTGATCTTTGGTCGGATAATACGAATGTTTGCTAATGTCTTTGCTCGAATGACAATCAATGACAAATATTGTTTTGGTACCAGATGTTTTTAGATAACGTTGAGATTTTAAAACATCGACGGAAACGGCGCAAGACGAAAAACCCCACCATACCACTGTTTTGCCTTTCGGATAATGTCTACTTAAGTCGAATCTCACACTTCGATAGATAAACTTCTGTGTTGATGGAAGACGCCAGAGTGCAGTGAGAAACAGTTTCAAATAGAGAAACCACGGTTTCAATTGTTGTCTGTCTTTGAATCGAAGTGTCCTATTCAAAACCACGTAAAGACACTGATCGAGTGGTTCCCATTCCATCGTATAGAGCATTATCGAAGCTGATTCGTCTGGAGTTAGATTATCAGCAGGTTTTTTACATCTCTGTTTGGCCGCGTGAGCATAATCTCGAATCTGTGGTAACAGTGAAATTAGTGGTTTGACGGCTTCGTCAAGTGATACCAACGGCATTTCATCATATCCACTAATCGGCATCAACATCTCGTGCGGTTCTTCAGCAATGTCCGAGATGTGCACAAGACTTTGCTCAGCTTCTTCTCTTCCACTTATCGCTATCTGCAACATCGAAATGATTTCAAAAATGAATGGAGAATGGAATTGAATGATTTACAAAGTCATAGAAAGGATAAATTTTGAACGCTGCTAACAAGACAAGTCTTTCTCAAATTGATTCCCTCGAAAAACAATGATTAGATCTCAGTCAGCGACACAAAAATTCAGATTTCTTCTTGTGGTTAGACAAACATACTTACTTTCTGTCCCATTGTTCTGAAATCGAAGTTCTGCAGATCGATGTTACCGTAATATGAAATCGAGTTTGGACCAAATGGCTGATAATAATTCGTTTGCAGAGTTACTCTTATTGACTGCGAACACCGTTGATTTCTTTTACTCACCTATAAAACGTCGCGTTGTCAACTGCAATTGAGTAAGAGAACTCACATGTGTCAGCAAAGAAAAATTCACCGTCTTCTTTTCAAGAGGAGCAAAGCAAACATTCGAATGCATTTTTTTTTCATATTCTTTATTATTCAACTGGCAAAACATTATTCAAAGAAACATTACTGCATAATAAAAGGGTGTGGGTGGGTGTGGATGTGGGTGAGGGTGGGTGTGGGTGTGGGTGTGGGTGTGGGTGTGGGTGTGGGGTGTGGGTGTGGGTGTGGGTATGTGCATGGCTGGGTGTGTCATATGAATAATTCGCCCACACCCCACACCCACCACACCCACCCCTCATCCACACCCACCCCACACCCCACACCCACGCTTCACACCCCACTCACACCCACAACCACACCCTGTTTTTGGGATCATGGCTAAAAAGAAGAGTCCGCTCATATCTAATTAGAGTTTATTAATTATGTCAATATTTCAGATATGAGGCATTATTTCAAAAGATTTACGAATATCTAGTAAATCCCAATCAATCTCGAAAGCATTAAATCGCGGTAGTTACTGTCATGGTTCTCGATAATAAAAGAAATGGCAAGTCTTTCCTCTGCCATTATTTTGTTTCAGTTTAATAGAAAGTTTTTCACTATTGTTAATAGAAGAGAAGCTGTAAAATCAGCTTTATTTTTTAATTCATAGTATGCATTTTCTTTTCTTAAATTTTTTGTAAAACATTCTTCTTTCTTTTTTCAAAATAAAATCGTTTACTCTTTTGATATTAATATACATTGAAAAAAAAAGAAGCATCTTACTTGTAATACAGATTGTGAATCAGGAAATGCTTTACAAACAAATTCTTCATCTGGTGCTAATGGATCAATAGAATATTGATCACTTTCATTATTTTGATAATTTTCATAAAGATTTTCACCTAATTTATCTGGTTTTATATCAAAATTTTTAAGATAATCCTTCAAGTCTAGCTTGTTTAGATACATTATAATAATTAGTTTTAATACTTGATTTTAATTTAATTGAGAATGAAATCGTTCAATTAATGTATCTTCATCTTGGTCATCATCATCAATTGTTGGTAAGGGTTGTTCATTATTTTCATCTTGTTCAATGGTTGAAATTAATGTTTTTCGTTTTTCACGTTCTTCGCGATATTCTAATAATTTGTCATGTGGATATATACCAAGAATATCTTCTATGTAATAAATATAAAGTTTTTCACATAAATCAGCTATTTCTCCTAATGTTTGAGCATGTCTTAAATGTTCTTTATCAATATTATAATCTGTTAATAATTTTGTTATTAATGCTTCTTCATGTGTATCACCTAAATGTTCATATTAATAATTTCGATATTTATCCATACATTCAAACATTGACATTAATTTATCTTTACGTATTTTAAATATCATGCACTAAAACAAAAATATATAATAATAATAATCAATTTTTTTTTGTTTAGAAATATATACCTTTTCATCTCATTGCCAAATTTTTCATAAATCGTTTAATTTAAGATCAGATTCAAAATAGTCTTTGCTGTAAAAAGCAATAAATGAGACCTTAAAATAGAAAAAAAATCTATTTAAATTTCAATCGATTTTAATGAATTTTTCAGAATATTAAAAATTTAAATTCAAATAGATGTGGGTCTCCAGATTTGCTTATTTCTGAAAGTAAGGTTAACATGATGATTCAGTTTTTTCTATTCTCATAATTTAAAATTCAATAAAAGATCGAAAGCAATGGAATGTTTGCAGTGACTCTTTTCATTCTGTAAAATTTATTCATACACTTCTAATCAATAATAAAGTTTAACCTTAATTTGATATCTTATACCATTTCTCTTATAGATCATTTGGAAAATTTTTTGTCTGCGATTTTGAATGAAATATATGTAGTCCATTTTTACTAAACCAATTCGGTAAAAAACGGTTTCTGAACTTTGCTTCTGACTCAGTATAATGTTCTAAATCTTTGGAAACAGATTTCAAATAAGCACACGCAATGTAAATAATCTACAAAGGCAAATTGTGCATACAAGGCATTCAACTAATACATAATACAAATGCCTTTAATAATAAATCTTTATTGCTTCCACTTTAAATGGAATTACTGCTTATTATTCAAAGTTTTAATACTATATCTAAATATATTAATCAACTTATATTATTACAATCATTCATAAATCAAACCTTTTATCGCCAACCATAATATTATTTAAACATATGCATTGCGTGATAAAAGTTGGAGCATGTTACGGGATCGAATAACCAACGTATCACCTGTGAAATTATTACGATTGGATATTTAATCAGAATATTGAAGTCTTATAAATATCAAATAAATTCTGTATTTACCTATACTACTTCAACTAAAAATTCAATATCTTAGTGAAGTTCAAAATTATTTGGGAAATCAGTCTTATTTATATGAGTGATTATAAATATTGTGAACGAATAAAATATATCAACACAGTTTAAGAATATTTCGACAGGAAACTAGTCTCAAGTACATTGCTGTATCATTAATTTTAATGGGAACTTGATGTGATCTCTCTATTTGATAAGGTTAAAACAAATGAAACCTTATCAAAACCTTGAACTGTAAAATTGCTTGTTTGCTATTTCTATATTTTTCACTTTCTTTTCCTTTAATTTTTCTGTTTTTTTCTAATTATTTCGTTTTTAATGCAAAGCCCTGATGAATGTTTCAATATATTAAAAAACAACACGAAACGTGTCGACGAAATTGAACTCTGCATTTATTTATTCTTTATTTACAAGCACAATATTTAGATATTATTTTGAAAAGCAAAAGTTGGAAATAGCAGATTGTATTTATCTTTTCTTCAAGAGATAGGTCAGTCTGTTTTTCGATTGATTTAACGACATTATCAATTTGATCAACAATATATAATACGTGTTATAAGTGTTTTATCATTACAAGAAACTGTTGGTTCAACATTATATTCGAATATTCAAACAACTATTTCAATTGTACTTTTTTTATTCCAATTATTGGCCTTTCATATGGACATTATTTAGCAGCGGAAATTTTATTACTTAGTTTATCATTAATTATTGCATATCAATGTACACAAGTAAGCATCAATGCATTTCCATCAAACTGTAAACTAGAGATGAGACCGATACTGGTACAGATTTCAGACCGATCTACCTTATTTACTTTTCTGTTCTTATTATATAAACTTGTTCAAAACTTCTATTAATCTTCGTAGTAATTTATAGAGGAGATGTAATGAAATTCTATCGAAACTTGACTACATGAAATAACAGTATCCAATAGAGAACCAATACCGATCATCATCTATGGTGCGATGTCGATCCTGTCCTGTACGGTCCCCGGTCTAGCCCCTTCAAATCAGTACCGATACTGCTCGTCAAAAATCCAGATCAATTCTATCTCTACCATAAACACTTCATAAAATTTGAGCGAGAAAGAAACATATTTTATGAATATGCATTAACACATATTGATAAATATAATTGTAGATTCAAACTCGAAAAATAACATTATTATACAATGCAATATTTTTTTCTACAATTCTAAATGAAAAATGACTACCAAAAATCTTTGTATTTCTTTTATTTGAATTATTTAAAATTGGTATGTTAATATCAATATGTATATCTTTATTAATATTTCCATTATTTGCAACATTTGATATTGAAAATCGTTTTTCATATTGTTTAAAAAATCTTCAACAAATGTATTATTTATTATTAAAGCTTTTTTATCTCAAGATCAAATGAATGCAAAAGTATCACTTTCACATACATCGATTATTGAACAAGTGTTTCGTCAAACAATGATTATTATTCAACTAAGGATTGCTGAAGCTCAATATGAACCATCAAGATTAGTACAAAAATTTTTTATCGAAAATGAAAACATATCATTAATTTTAATATTCAAGGTTTGTTTTAAAATATTTAAAATAAACTATTTTATTATTATGTTTCTTTTGTTTTTGTAAGAACAAGCTAATTTATTAAGTTCATTAATGTTTCATATTTGTTCTCTTCAATTAATGGTAAATCAATATCAGTATAATGAATATCATAATGATTTTAAGAGATGAACTTGAATTAAGTATATATTATCTTAATTCATGTCAATCAAGTCTTATATCATCTTTTACATCATCAAAATCAATAACAAAAGATGAATTTAACTTATCGTTTATCATATAAAAAAAATTCTTCCATCAAAAAAATCAATTCAATCAGAAGATCATCTTTCTTATCGAATTTTTCTTTTTCAATTATCTTATATTGTGAAATTATTAACTCAAATAATAACAGATCAAAAAAATAAAAATATTTCAAATAATAAACAAAAACTAAATTATTTTAATCAATGTTTTATATTTCAATGGTCAAATTTTTTATTAGCATTTAATAGTATGACTATTATCGGAGTTGGATCAATATTTGTTATGGTTCCATATTTAGCGAAAATTTTTTGAAAATGGTCAATGGATTTTAATAGCTCTTTGTATGACACAAACTGATACTGTTGGAGGAGCTTTTATAACGATGAAAATAAGACTTATTGAAATTCTTTTAGGTATTTTTATCTAAACAATAATTAAAAGGAAATATTTTTGTGTTATATAGGTGCAATGTGGTCACATATAGCATATTTATTAGTACATGATAATATATTTGCAACATTTTTTATATTAATCCCATGGATATTTTTATTTGGTTATTTAAGATTATTTCCAAAATTGAATTATACATCAGCTGTAGCTAGATTTACGTTTATTATATTCATACATGAATGTCTATTACCGCTAATAGTTATTAAGAGGCAGCCATCTCTTCAGCCTTAATGTTTACATTGGTCGAATCTTGTTTTATGAGCAGTTTTACAGCACCCTGAGCGTCTGTAGCCGCCATGCAGGCCGAAATTATGTCAGCTGGCGAGTGAACGTAGTCGTGAAGTTGAGCTACATCAACGTAGCTTTCCTCTGAGAAGAAATGTTTGATCATATCTTTGATGATAGATACCGAACATCGTTTGAACTCTTGTTTGATGTCGATGCGACCAGGCCGAATAAGAGCAGGGTCGATTTGATCCGGGTGATTGGTGGTCATGATGAGTATACGCTACACGAGAGGTATAAGTCGAAACAGCCGGCATTGCCAACAATTAACATATGAATCAAAAAAAGGTCAAGTCTAAATTCTTAGCGACGGAATGTAGCATCGGCTTGATCTTTTTGTATTTGAACGAACAAAACCTGAAGAACACATTTTTCTAGCAGACAAAAAAGGGGCCGAAATATCTGTTTTTAGACTTTTATTGATTTTTCAGCTGTTCGAATGTTTCGAAAAGTAAAATTTTTGCATTGACAGCGTCATCAAAAATCAGCTTTTTGCTAGCGATTGCAACAGTCTATTTGTGATTATACAGGTGAATCATAGATATCTTTATGATAAAAAATTAAAATATCTCGATCTACCCTGCGTTAAACAATTTGACTGATTCTTTTATCGGTGATAGAGGAGAATTCAAAGTTTTTATTCATAAGAAAAAGGCTAAGAAATCCTGCTTTGACCTACCATTTTCGACTTCAACACAGATTTGCGGAATTTAGGTATTCTTAAAAAATATGACATTCAGAGTGTTGCAAAAGTTGTTTTCAAGGAGTAACTCTCATCAATTCACGATGTTCTATTCAAAAAGAGGCTAGTTTTATCCATGTTACATAGGAAAATCAGGCTAATCGTGCAACAAAATGTTTATTTTGGCTAGACAAATATCATATGTTGTCCTCTTCTCTATTTCAAATTTGAAACTTCCAATTTATACCTGCATGCGGAACGTCGTATGTTCACTACTTTGGACAGCAACGTCGATTATGTAGCTGGCCGTAAGTGGGCGCCATCTCAATGCCTTGATCCGCAACTGCAACAAGTCCATCACATAGGCAGAAACCTTGCCGATGAAAGTTAAGCAGAAAAGAGCAAGAATGATGAGTAAACAATCGTGCCAAATATTGCCCGTCTTGATCGTCGAGATGAGCGGTTGAATAACGTAGTAATGTATATCCATTGCTATAGCAGTCATCTAACAAATGTATCGGGCTGCATGCATGTATCTTCATTTTAAAAAGTATTGAAACAATGTTTTTGGTCGTACTAGTCGTCATATTCCGAATCGATTCGATAATAAATACTTGAAAATCATTGGTTCAATTCACCGTTATTTCTTTTGTTACATCGGTCAAGGGCGAAACGAAACAGACGCGCTGGAAAAACGATCAGTGCGTTTAGTGTTCTACAATAATGACTGATGTCAGCGACACAAAACAATGATCGACCGGAAGAGCAAAACTGATTCATCTATCCTAGACGTGTATGCATACGTCAAACAATGTGAGAAGTGAGTGCTATCTTTCAGAAAGATGCGCAACATTCAAATCTTTCTTTCACGAATGGTGTTATCATTCATACCAAAGTTACACTGTAAAGAAGAATGTTGGTCGACCTATTCTTTCTTAACAAAATACAAATAATTGATTATTTACATTGAGAAAACATGATAGATATTACACATGGAGATAATAGTGATGGGATCGGTACGTATTTTTTTGAAATCGAACCGAACCGAACCGAAAAATTTTCAAACGCGTACAGACATGATTGGATTAACATCTCAACCGCATCCAAATGTGGATCACAAAAAGAATTTTGAGTATATCCACACGCGTTTTACATGATAATCGTGTTTAGGCGCGTCTAGCAAAATATTTTGAATTGTGTGTAGAGGCGTTTCATAGGAGAATCAAGTTCAAACGCGGCTGAGATCAATCCTATAGGTAATGCAAAATAGCATGGCTCAGAGGAAACAGTCTACTATGCCTAGACGCATCTAAAATAATAGTTTCAAACTCATACGTATGCGTTTTGTACCCTGATCGCGTTTATTAAAGTCGTTTCAGAAAAATCATGATTAACCTATTTTGAATAAATGATTTATTCTCATTCAGTATCAATTATCCTAAAGTAGCAGTATCTTGTTCGTATCCCGTTTGATAAGACGGACATAGAGATCATCGTGCAGTGAGAAGTTGAGTGAGAAAAATACACAGTCAGTAAGAGCTTCCAGTCACAGTCATGCCATTGGCCGCAGGATGAATTCCGTTATATCCCTCAGTGTTATATTAAAAGACCACAGATATTTTTGATTCGTTTGCTGAGATATTTAAGAAAATAGTTTATAGAATAAAATGTTTGTCTCTCGTTCCTCATGTATCCAGACAATGCTTTGACCGGCATATTTATTCATTGACTTAAATTTAGAGATAATGACAGATCAAACTCAATGACAAAGTAAAAAAATATTATTTATGCAATATTCAATTATCGGGTGCAGCATAAATATTGCAACATTTGGTAATTTGCAAATATCTCACCATAGACAAATGTTAGAACATTGATTCTTTTTTCAAAAAATGCGCCGTGAAAAGTTCTACAAAAACTGTAAGAACAAATTCCTATTGACTTGTTCTGATGATGTCTTCGACACTCAAAATGAACAAGTCCTATGATGGCGTTGTGTCCCACCGTATTTCGTATAAAAATAATATTTGGAAGAATTTTTTATTTTGAAAATATCTGGGCTTGAGAAAATAGCAACACCTTGATTTTGTTTTCAGAAAATGCGCCGTCGAAAGCTCTATAAAATCCGTATGAGCAAATTTCTAGTGGAAAGCAAAAAGTTCTTTCAAATATTGTTTTTATGCGAAATACGGTGGGTCATAGTACTATCATAGGACTTGTTCATTTTGAGTGTCGAAGACATCATCAGAACAAGTCAATAGGAATTTGTTTTTACAGTTTTTGTAGAGCTTTTCACGGCGCATCTTTTGAAAAAGAAATCAAGGTTCTAACATTTGTCTATGACGAGATATTTGCAAATTACTAAATGTTGCAATATTTATGCCGCACCCGATATATCGTACCTACAACGATCTGTCTGATCATCAATCTTTTCATCTACATCTACGCTCGAGCATCATTTGGACGAATTCAACCGCAACCTCTTACTACACAAATAAGCATAAGCGATACTCAACAATCAAGAATCAATCGTCGTGATATGCATCTGTTACGATAAATTATTGTCATATTTTGTATATTTGCCGGTAGATGGGGACTGATCTATATGATTCTAGTTCTTGATATTCTTTTTATATTCATCCATTGGTATTACCGAGTCTTGTTCTTATTGCTCCACTAGGTTTATTTGTTAGTATCCTCAATTTATTCATATACCATCGTGAAATTTGACAATATGTACACGAACAAGTTCGTCGCTATCTCTGAAATGTAGCACAATAACGACTTCCACAAAAATGTAAATATGCATGCATAATACAGTTGTGCCACTACTAGCTGAAAAACGATTTGAACGTTTTCATTATTGCTTTTCAACAACATGTATTCAAGTGTATTCTACATATTATGTCTAATTTTTCCATCTAATAAATGCCACAAGAAGCAATAAAAATTTTCTTCGCCATGTTTTCTATCTTGATGATGTCCCTGTTTTGAGACATAAAAAGGTAGAATTCAAAAAAAAAATATCATCTTCATAGAAATATGATCAATGGAGGTTTTGTCCGAGATATTTTTATGGACAAAGTTCCATCGGAAATTTCGCTGCAATACTTGAGTATTATGGGACTTATATGATTGATCGCTTACAAATATTACTCAATGTCAATCATTTAAAAACTGCATCATTGTCTATTGTTTTTGATGAAAACAAATTATCGTCATGTATTTCCGAGAGTATAAGTGTTTCAATTCAACATACTTTTTGATTTGTATCGTATTTTCGGATATGCTTTATTTATATAGCTCAACTACAGATGAATTAGAATAAAATCTAGCATTCAAATCATTAGTCACCACCATAAGTTCAAAAAATGATCGTTATATTTATATGTATAGTCATCGTGCATTACTTTATCATGACCAATCATTGTTCGAAATTTTTCAATCATCTCGTGATTTATATTCGAAATCAACAATGAGAAGAGATGAGAACTGTTGTTCATATACTTTGATAATATAATTTGTGCGATATATACAAGACTGTCTTCATCGATCTGTATTTCGAGATATTGTATGCGAGGACAGGGATTGATGAGAAATTTAAGGTCTTCGAGTGTATTATTATCGACATCGCCGATGATCAATTTTGTTATTTTGTTCTTGGACACTAAATGAGCAATTTGATATTCTTGTCTAGCAGATCGAGTACTTATGAGTTTTAATGGATGATAGTAGGGGTCAAATGAATCAAGATTAGGCAAACAACAAAGGATTTCGATCAATATATCAGTGTCGAGATTAGAATATGAAATACATAATAGACGGATCTGTGTCAAAGGAATACAATGTGTAAGGACAGTAATGAGCTAATCTTTGTTTTCAGACCAAAGGTACCGTAGCCTGAGCGATGTAGCACGTGTAAATTGGATTGAAAAATTTGGAATCACATGACGACCTTCAATACACATATTTTGAGCCAAATTGAGACAGGTATCACGACATGAACATGTGTCTTGATGTGTACGTTCGAAAATATAATATTGCTTTCTCCTAAATAAAGATAGATAAACATCACAACCTGAAATCATTTCATATGCACCTGTATAGTTGAGTCGAATAGAATTTCATACGACCATATTGCGAGTAATATTGATACGCAGAAAACCATTGTCGTTCAATCCAAAATGTTGAAACAAATTGATTAATCATTGCATGATATACTTGAATATTTTCAACATTTTACTTTGTTTCTTCTGATCGTCTT